GCCAGTAAAGATTAATCCATAAACAACAGGTTAGAGAACACTGAGAAGAACGTGATACTTCTCGAAATTGATACTCTGCTCTTTCTTGAATCACTGGGGTGGATACTTTGCCATAAAAAAGTATATATATTTTTGCAAGTCAAGTGTATGCCTGGTATAATGTTGTGCATCCTGACTGGTGACGTAAGGACTGCCCACAGCACTTCTGTTGTGTATGTATTGGGTGGAGAGGTTTTGTGCTCATTTTTGAGGAATATTTTACTGTTATTCTTCGCATATGTCATCTTTCAGCTCTGCAAGACCAGCAGAGTAGGTCCAGTTGATGGCTGCCAAGATGATGCAGAGCAGCTGGTATCATGGAAGACACATAACTTGCTTCCATTTTGGTGTCCAAACTAAGGCAAGAAGAGAGCAGGAGAAGACAGAATTCAAAGAATCATAGAATGGTTTGGGTTGGAGTTTCGCCCTCCCCCTGCATGGGCAGGGACAATTTCCACTAGATGAGGTTGCTCCAAACCCCATCCAACCTGGCCTTGCTAGGGAGGGGGCAGCCACAGCTTCCCTGGGCAACCTGTTGCAGTGTCTTCACCACCCTCATAGAGAAGAATTTCCTCCTAATATCTAACCTAAATCTGTCCTCTTTCAGCTTAAAACCATTCTGCCTTGTCCTGTCATTACATGCAGGGATGAAGAGGGGTTCACTTGACAAAGACTGAATAGATGGGCCCTGTTTAGAGAGAGCAGAAGAATGGAGAAATAGAATACTTAGAAAAACAAATCATATGGGAAAAGGCAACGTAGATGCCTCCACTTATTTTTCTGTGGTCACACAAAGTTTATCAATGATACTGAAAGCCCAAACATGCAACAACTGTTAAGGTGTGCTCTGTACCATGTCAGAGCCTGGAAATTCGCTGTCACGTGCTGTCATTATCTTAGCCAGTGTTCCAGAAGAATCCAAAATAGAGGTAAATAATTGAATAATGAGAAGCAAGCAACTGTATCTAATACCTTTAGTCACTTTACTTATTAAGCTGTGTAATGATTCATGACCAAACCTAACCTTCTGGGAGTAGGAAATAATGTTTTCTAGCAGCTTGAAGTTTCTAGCTCCAGTTTTCCAGCTACATAAAAGGAAAAAAGTATGTCTGCAAGGCTGGTTTGGGAAGCTGTTCCCATTTGGGTGGGAATTCTCACTTCTAATGTCTGGCTTCTCAGTGTATGGAACTTTGGTAAAATGGAAAAAACTTCACATATCTTCTAAACCAAAACTGAAATAACACTTGGCAGTTGGGCATCCCTCTCCACACATCAGCCTGCACGGGAGAAGCTGCACGGGGGGGAGGCGATGAGCACATGAGCTTGAGTCAGGGTAGAGAAGTGTTTCTATAGCAGCCACCTGTGAGGGAAGGGGAAGATGGAGGTTCTCCAGGGACAGCATGGTGGTTACTGCCTGCTGTGGCTTAGAAGGAGCTCAGTTTTGCTCATGTCCTGTTGGTCTTTGTAAGTAAAAATGTTAGCACAGAGCTGGATTATGCAACACTGCTGTGAATGGATGGACTGACAACTGACAAAGCCTCTATTTCACTTCACTTAAAAAAAATCCAATTTGTTTCGTCTTTGAAAGCAAATATCTGGAATAGAAAGTTTAGCACTTGCAGGTCAGATAATTTATCTACTATTAATGCTGAGTAGATGAAATCTGAAGTCTAGGTGGTAACAGCCACAAGCTTTAAGATGGCCTTCTGCAGAAAAATGCAGCCTGCAGTAGGTGATGCTGCTCCAAAGCCACTTATTTCAATTTCTTTGATTAGCTGGCTGTCTTAAAATTTCCCTGCTGGAAGCATGGACTCCTGAGTCAGTGAAGTGACCTGACCATACACTTGCTTTCCTCAGTAACCTATGACAGGTGCCTTAGAAATAGGCCATGACTCCACATGCTGCAGCAGATGAGAGATTTATGACTCTGGCTTGATAGAATCAGTGAACTGTGAGCAACGACAATAAGAGAGATTGGGCAGGTTTGTTAGTGAAAGGGTGTGTGGGTGCTTGAACACCAGAGTGGAAATGCCTATTTTGTTTGATGATATGCAACTTGTGACACGCAAAATGAAAGGAAAACCTAAGAAGAGGAAGGTGGTGGGCAGATCTTGTCTCACTCAACAGGGTTCCTGTTCTCTTATGCTAACAATTTTATACCAAAAAAAAAAAAAAAAAAAAGAGCCTGAAAGCATGTGGATGGAGAATATATATTAAATATATGTCCACAATGATACTTGGCTTGGAAAAGGTCAACCCAGAGTCATACTATAAAGGTCATACCCAGAGTTCAAAAGGTTTAAGGTACTATGTGAAGCAGTAATGGCTTTTTATGTACATAGGATATTGAGATTATCTTAGGCTGTTGTTATTATCCTAAAGCTGTTGGAGAAACTGGAGAGAATTCTTGAGAGCAGCTTAAGGCATGAGTGTGGGTTGGGTAATCACCTTAGGAAGAAGTTACAAGAGCAGTATGTGCAAACTGACAGCCCTTCTGTGGGCACATGTATCATAGCAAGAAGCAGAATAGTGTACACACTAATAATGGAGAGAATAATTATAGTTGTTAGGATTGAGTAGTGAGAGGAAGTTGAGAAAGTGAATCTTGATGACAGGAAACACTTCATAGTCATGAGATCTATTTGAGCTTCAAGAGTGTCTTACAAAGAAAATGGTGGAAGTTGTGCTAACTGGGACATTCAAAAATGAAGTTGATGAATCATTACTAAATGTAGAAACTTACACTGTGGTGACAGTGGAGTAAATGTGCAGAGATGTCTTGGCCTGCTCAGAAGCTTCAGCAAAATAGACAAAGTGAAAACTGTCTTTCTGTTTTGAAGATGCTATCTATACCTCTCTATCAGCCTCAATACCCTTTTCAGGCTCAAAATTTCTCTTAAAGCAGCAAATTCCACAGGGTGACCGGTGCCAGGGAAGATTTTTATTTTTTTTTCCCCCTGAATCTTGGGGGAAAAAATCAACAAAATTATTAAAAGGAGGTAACATGAAATTGCCATCAAAGTGAACTGCACTGTGACTTGTCACTTGTCCTCTGCCTTGCACAGCTGGAAGTCCCCAGTTTATAAGATTACAAACTGGAGCTTTTTTAAAGCTTTGCAGTAACTTTGAGATTCAGTTATTAAGCAAATGCACTGTAGCACAGGGGAAAAAATAATCCCCAGCAGTTGTTTCTTTCCTTACCACTAGCTGTTTGTTAACAATGATTTGTCTTGAGCCAAATAAAGGTGCATTTTGAGATTTCTATGAATTTGTACTATATAATGAATAAAAACAATGATGTGTCTTTCAAAGTGTTTGCAGTTCCAGATGATTTAGTATCTCCATTTTCTTTAGGAGGTGTCTCAACTAGTACAGAAAATTCTTGAATGGGGTGACAATAACTTGTATTTTTAGTGCATCTCCTCAAGGAACCTATTTGTCACTTACCATGAGACTTCTTTGCAATGGTGAGGTGTGCACTGAAATCTTAAAATCAAACTCAGTCTTAAAGACTAACCTTAAATCACCTTGCTATTGAGGAAAGGAATCAGGTTCACATTTTTCTTCAACATTTAGTGAGTCTGTATCATCCCAGTGGGAGTGTCTCTCAGAGTTCCTGGATGGAAGGCATTAACAGTTCATTTCATCCTACTCCCAGGTAATGAGGGTGGTATTCTTCAGTTCAGCCTGCACCAGCATCTTAGCTCCAGGATATGCTTTTTCTGTCTTCACTAATGTCTGTATTTGTCAGACCTTTCCAATTTTTTTAATGTGTTTTCAGCTTCCAAACAATTTGCTGAAGAAGTCTTGAAAGCACACAATGACTACAGGAAGAAACACGGAGTCCCCCCATTAAAACTCTGCAAGAAGCTAAACAGAGGAGCCCAACAGTGAGTTCAGTCCTTTCTTTTATATAATGAGATTTATGACACTTTATCTGTTTGGTTTGGCTGTGTGTACTGCAAAAAAAATTTGCCTTTTGACGTGCCAATATTCAGTGAAGACTTACTAGGTGGAAAGTGAGGGACTCTACTCTTCCTGTTTGTCTACCCAACCCTTTTCATTCATTCCTTCTTTCTCCACCACATAGCACCAGCTGGTCACATGGACACTTCTGTGGTCACAAACATATAAATCTTTCTTGCACCCTTTTCCAGATGTGGGCTGCACCTGTCTACTCTGCTGTGTCTCCTCTGAAGAGGGTAGTTGCCTAAGTCATGCTTCAGCAAAACTTTTGTCACATGATGGATTGTTTTCTGCAGGAGAGTATCCACTGCTGCTATAATAGTGAGAAAGTAACTTTTTCCATGGTAGGAAGTGATGACTGGTCTAAGATAAATGAAATCAGAAGGAAGCAATTTCAGATCAAATTGGCTGTCTTCCTGCCCCAAAAGCAAAATCAGTGTACGTTGTTCTCTGTCAGGAGGGACAACATCTTGCCTCTTCTCCAGAGCTGAAGCCTGCAAAGCTTCTTGTCAGTCTAACGTACAGTGGATCCACATTTGTGCTGTCTGACTTGTCTTCCTTACAGAAATTTGAGTCTGGTACTGCTTGTCCTCTTTGCTGTAGACACAACAGGCAGATTATTTCCTTTCCCTTTACAGCAACGTTTTTCAAAGTAGATTTGAAAATCTTCAGTTCTTTCAGACTGCTCCTCACAGCACAAAGGAGATACCTGAAGGAGTAAATGGTGATTAAACTATTCAGAAAACAAATGTCTTTCTGTAATAGCTAAACAGTGGCCAGTTTGATCCCTGCAGACATAAGATCTCGTCTCTCATTAGGCTTTCCACCATAACTGTGCAGACTTCTCCATGCTGGCTGGCTGGGAGCCAGAGTAGCTGTAGCCTTTCCAGAAGCTGATTTGCTGTCCCAGCATGTGCTTCACTGTCACACAGATGCACCAGCTCCAGCACTCCTTGACCAGAGATCTCCACTGCATGTTGTGCTGGGCAATGCACCATGTACACGGTGTGTGGATGTGCCCTCTGGCACCATGAAAAATCTGATTCTGTCTTAATTTTTTTACCCTCTTTTTTCCTGAGACACCATGATAACTGGATACAGTATTTCTAGGAGATGGCATGCCAGTGACTCATCCACATACCTTTGTAATCTGCTGGGGTTTTCCTTCTGTTCTTCAAAGGGTTGTTTTGTTTCTGTTTTACATGATGCCTAACAACAAGGAAGAAATTTCACTGGCTTGTCAATAACACTTGTGTCTCCAAAGTGCTGCAGTTGGTTTGAACAAGTCAACTTGTATGAATAGTTCAGATTATTCTATCAAATATGCATTGCTCCACATTTATCTCTTAAGTGTGCTGTTGCCCTTGCTGGGTATTTTTAGGTCCTTCTGGAATTCCTCACAGTCTCCTCTGGTCTCAGCTGACTTTGTCTGCTGTGATGAATAAACCTTTGCCTGTGTTCTGTAGCTTGACTTGTAAGAATTAGAAGTTCAGTAAGAATTAGAAGTTCAGTAAGAGTTAGAAGTTCAGAGACTGGTGAAACTGGTTGATATCAAATAATTTCTGGTTCTTGCTCTGAATAGAAGATGTGAAATATAAGAGATCTCATACTTGTCAAGACAGATTATGCAAAATCTTAAATTCAAAGAAAAACTTTGCCTTTTCTTTAGGTATATCTGATAACTTAGTTGGTATTTATCTGGTATGTTTCAGTGCTTCTCTGTCAGTGTTGAAAATGGTCTGTTTCCTACAATTTTCAGTTCCAATAACGGCGACAGGTTAGATGAACTGACTATTGGATCCCTGCTTGAACATGAGATGAGTCACCCTCAGCAGGTGTCTGTTTATCTCTGACTGTAATGAAGCACAGGGTGGTGATCTCAGATGCAAATCTCGTGCTTTCAACTGCCTGAGCTAGAGTGTATTAATCACCCTTTGTCTCAAATCCTTGGCAACTTTGGGTGCAAGACTTTGTTCCAGTCTTGTCTCTTGCTTGGGATTTGGGAATCTGTGAAGAGAAATATTACAGGACTGTAGTAATATTGGGCATGAAGGAGCATCTGCAGAACCTCTACTTGAGGATCTAACAGACAGACAACTGACAACTTTTTGGTATTTCTAAATTAATGGAAGTAATTAAATATATTGGTGGTTTTTATTAGTGTGTGTTTTTTTGTTTTGGTTTGGTTTGGTTTTTTTGAAGAGTAGGACAAAAGGAAATGGAAACCTAATGACTGCAGTACTAGCTTGGGCCAAAATGTTCAGCTGGACAGATTTTCTGTCTGGCAGATGCTAGCAATTCATTATTAGGGAAGGAGCAGCAGGACAAAACAAATGTGGTGATGCTTTCCCCATTGTCTTCTCCCAGAAATTACAGATTTCTCCTGGAAATTATGTTGTATCCTATTTTTTTTGCTGCTGTTGTTTCAAAACTTCTGAATATTTCACACACACAGACAGACACACACACACACACACACTGTAAATTTGTCTAGCTCTTTTTCAAACCCACATGGGCCTTGGTGTCTGCATCATCCTGTGGTGATGACTTCTGCTGCACACTGCAGAAAAAGTGCTTTGTCTTACTTGACTTTCAAATCTATGACCTGATGATTTTGTGTGTTGCATCCTATTTCTTGTGCCATGAGAAATAACAAATAGTCTCTCCAATGTCACTGTCTCTGTATTGAAGCTTCTCCAATTTTCAACAAAGAGAATAATTTTTCACACATGATGTTCTTCTTAACCCTATTGTCGTAAGACAATAAAATACATCCCACACTCTCACACATGTCAACTTTGTAGAAACAGTGCTGCTTATCCTTATGTTGGTAAACCCAGTTGCCGCCTCAGACTTTCCACGTGGTCCCCTTCTCCTCCATACTGTTGGCTGCCAGTTTGGTCTTGCTTTGCATTTGCCTTTTTTTTTTTTTAAATTTGTAAATGTAGCTCTTTTTTTACACTTGCTTTGACTGAATCCTTAGTTTGGTCTTTTTTCCATTTCATTGCAAACATTTAAGGTACTCCTGTAAAGGGCCTAGAAGTGTCAGGAGGTGACATCTGTAGCTGTCATTGCAGGTATTTCTCTTTCCCCCAGCAGCTGCAGCTAAGGATGTCTAGTGGATTTCCAGGTGCTGATCAGAACATGGTGGGGGAAGATCTGTCCTGATTTCATTTAGGCCTTTCTCAACAGTGACATAGACACTCATGAAAGACAGGGAAAATGGCTTCTAGGCCTTCCCTTTGCCTAACTACTAGATCTGTGTAAGCTTAAATCATCCCTGTCTTCAGGGCTTTGCAGCTGAGTAAGTTGGCTTAAACTCTTGTCGTCCAGCAGAAGTCCTTGCTTGCATCTTCTCTTCCTCCTGCTTCCCCTTCTCTCTGCTCACTGTTACTGTGGTCTGTGATGCCATCTGTGGATTCCTCTGCTAGGTATGCAGAAGAACTGGCTTCCACAAGGGTCCTCAAACACAGCTCTGAGTCTGCCAATGGAAAATGTGGAGAAAACCTAGCATGGGCATCCTATGACCAACCAGGTAAGCTTTCTTCTCTTTTTTGTCTCACAGACACTGGATACAGGGCTTGTCTCATGTGCTTTGGGCTCAGAGCATCTGGTCACAAGAGTACCAGCACTTTTTCTGCTTTGAAAATGCATCTACCACAACCCAGGCCAGCCCAGGCTCCTTGGGGTCAGGATGGTGGCTTGCAGTCACCTACATGTGCTGAAAGTGAGGAGCATATGTAGACACAGAGAGGGTAAGGGACTGGTAGTGTGCTCTGTCCCTTTGGAGGTAAGCATAGCAGCTCTGCTGCTCCATATGTCCTAGCTGTGGAGCTGTCTTGAGTGCTACTTCTGTGCTCATAGGAGGAAAGGAGGAAGCTGTCAATGCATTGTACTTCACCTTTATCCCTAGTTTGTCCCTGCCAAAGAGAGGGCTGACCAGACACCAGCTGTAGTGAGGAAGCTGGAAAAACAGCCATTGCATCCTACACAGCAGTGCCTGTTTGTGGGGGCAAAACCAGGGTGGAGGCAGACACCAAAGTGACAGAGGCTAATGTTAGACACCTAGTCTCTTCTGCTCTCTCAGCAAACAGGCTTTGAGGCCTTTTCCATGCCTACACTTTTGATGACAAAACCACTCCATGTATTTTTCTGATCATACATGTAACATGTAAACTGGCAGCCTTCCATTTGGAGGCCTGAGGAGCTCAGTTCTGGCCAGGCTGAGAGCCTGTGCTGAGCCCTCAGTCAGAGTGA